GCGGCGGGGGGGGGGGGGATCGCGAACGCATGCGACATCCTTTCCCAACCGAGCCCTACGCCCCTGAATGCGCAGCCACGGTATGAGAGCGAGCCCGTTGGGCTCTTGACAGTGAGCAATCACCACGCCGCAGGGACATCCGGCACTGGAGAAACTAAGGGGCACCGATACCGCTACTCCCCGGACCTCCCCCCGGGTGCGTTCTGACCAGAATTTCGAGGCGAATCCAGCGGTGACGACGAAGGCCTCCCAGGAGGCCCCCAAAGGCGAAAACGAGGGAGGGGTAGCGGTATGGGCGCCTCGTCTTCCTATGAGGCACTTTTCTCTCTAGCCGATGTCCACGGCAGGGAGGAGTGTTGATCTGTGGCATCGGGGCCCACGCTCGGTCGGTCGTCGCCGCGGCGAGTACCCTCGCGAGGCAGCTGGGGAATCCCAGGAGGGCTCGCGGAGACTCGAAGCGGTGTGCCCTCACGGCTCTGCGCCTCATTCGGGGATGTACCGAACGATGCTCAGTCCTCTGTTCAAGGTGGGGACAAAACACCTAGACCCCGACAATTGACGATAACTAAACGGCCCTGGGCGTTTACTAAGCCTTGCCCTGTTCGATCCCCTTCCCTGGGCGCGTTCAATAGACGGTTTCGTCTGTCGGGATGATTACTAGCCGGCCGCTCTGCGGTTGATCGGGAGTTTCTGTATATAGAAGAAGGTGCGTGCGCTTGTTGGCGAGGGTGAGGATGAGGTTCCTCCTCCTCCTCCTCCTCCTCCTCCTCCTCCTCCATCCTTCTCTTGCCTCCGTCTGTCCTCCTCCACCCCACAGCTCCATCATCTTCTCCTCCTCCTCCTCCTCCTCCTCCTCCTCCTCCTCCTCCTCATTCCTCCTCTGGGCACCTCCCCCGGGGCGCGGATCCACCGGATCTGTCCGGATCTGTCCGGAAACGGTGCCGAGGCCGCTCTGGGCTTCAAGCGAGGGCACCGGTTTGGGATTCGTCGGCGGATCCACCAGATCCAGCGGATCTGTCCGGAAACGGTGCCGGAGGCCGCTCTGGGCTCCATGGGCACCTCCCCCGGGGCCGGTTTGGGATTCGTCGGCGGATCCACCGGATCCAGCGGATCTGTCTGGATTTGGTTGATATTTGGTGGAAAATTTTGTTCTTTTTTGGGATTTGTGTATTTGGGGATTTTTTTGGTGGTGGGTTTTGGAAATGAGATTTTTGGGTTTTTTTTTTGTTTTTGGTTGTGGAAACGGTGCCGGAGGCGCTCTGGGCTCCTCTGGGGTCCTCTGGGCACTCCCCAGGGTCCGGTTTTGGTGAGGATGTCTCAAGCGAGGGCGCCGGTTTGGGATTCGTCGGCGGATCCACCGGATCCAGCGGATCTGTCCGGAAACTGTGCCGGAGGCCGCTCTGGGCTCCTCTGGGCACCTCCCCTGGGGCCGGTTTTGTGGCCGCTCTGGGCTCCTCTGGGCACCTCCCCCGGGGCCGGTTTTGTGAGGATGTCTCAAGCGAGGGCGCCGGTTTGGGATTCGTCGGCGGATCCAGCGGATCTGTCCGGAAACGGTGCCGGAGGCCGCTCTGGGCTCCTCTGGGCACCTCCCCCGGGGCCGGTTTTGTGAGGAAGTCTCAAGCGAGGGCGCCGGTTTGGGATTCGTCACCGGATCCACCGGATCTGTCCGGAAACGGTGCCGGAGGCCGCTCTGGGCTCCTCTGGGCACCTCCCCCAGGGCCGGTTTTGTGAGGATGTCTCAAGCGAGGGCGCCGGTTTGGGATTCGTCACCGGATCCAGCGGATCCACCGGATCTGTCCGGAAACGGTGCCGGAGGCCGCTCTGGGCTCCTCTGGGCACCTCCCCGGGGGCCGGTTTTGTGAGGATGTCTCAAGCGAGGGCGCCGGTTTGGGATTCGTCGGCGGATCCACCGGGTCCACGGGATCTGTCCGGAAACGGTGCCGGAGGCCGCTCTGGGCTCCTCTGGGCACCTCCCCCGGGGCCGGTTTTGTGAGGATGTCTCAAGCGAGGGCGCCGGTTTGGGATTCGTCACCAGATCCAGCGGATCCAGCGGATCCACCGGATCTGTCCGGAAACGGTGCCGGAGGCCGCTCTGGGCTCCTCTGGGCACCTCCCCTGGGGCCGGTTTTGTGAGGATGTCTCAAGCGAGGGCGCCGGTTTGGGATTCGTCGGCGGAACCACCGGATCCAGCGGATCTGTCCGGAAACGGTGCCGGAGGCCGCTCTGGGCTCCTCTGGGCACCTCCCCCGGGGCCGGTTTTCTGAGGATGTCTCAAGCGAGGGCGCCGGTTTGGGATTCGTCACCGGATCCACCGGATCTGTCCGGAAACGGTGCCGGAGGCCGCTCTGGGCTCCTCTGGGCACTTCCCCCGGGGCCGGTTTTGTGAGGATGTCTCAAGCGAGGGCGCCGGTTTGGGATTCGTCACCGGATCCACCGGATCTGTCCGGAAACGGTGCCGGAGGCCGCTCTGGGCTCCTCTGGGCACCTTCCCCGGGGCCGGTTTTGTGAGGATGTCTCAAGCGAGGGCGCCGGTTTGGGATTCGTCACCGGATCCACAGGATCTGTCCGGAAACGGTGCCGGAGGCCGCTCTGGGCTCCTCTGCTCCCCGGCTGGGGCGGAGGGATGACGGTTAGTTCCACAGAAACTCCCTAAAAGATGCAGGTGGATCTCTGACCTCATCTTCTTTCTTCCGCGGGTTCGCCTTGCAGCCTAGCGACCGAGCGAGGGGGACCAGGGGGTAGGAGCAAGGGCGGAGGAGGAGGTGGAGGGGGGAGGAGGAGGAGGAGGAGGAGGAGGTGGGGAGGAGGAGGAGGAGGAGGAGGAGGGGAGGAGGAGGGGAGGAGGCGGAGGGGGAGAGGGGGGGTAGGGGGTTTTGAGGAGGAGGAGGAGGAGGAGGAGGAGGAGGAGGAGGAAGAGGCCGAGGACGAGGACGAGGACGAGAGAGGAGGAGGGGCCCCAAGTGGGCGTCGCGTAAGGGGGGCGACGATGAATGGGGGGGGCGGCGAGGGCTGCAGAAAAAGCGCCGTAAGGGCCTTTTAGGGCCCCACAGGTGCACCTTTCCCTCCCCCCCTCAACTATCGCCCCCTATCAAGCGACGCCCAAGACCCAGGTAAGCCAGGTGCGCTCGTTTCATATCCGTAAGGGCTTCGCCCCCTGCCGCCGGCCCCCTCTCTCGGAGAATGGGCCATGGAAGAGCTAAGTCATGAGGCTTTGGCGCTGTCGTGCAGCAGTATCGGAACTTCATGCGAGGCCGATTCGCAATCGGCAAAACCAACTGATCACAAGAGGGGTTACCACACAGGGCGATGGGTAAGACGTGTATGGTTTACGAGCTTGGTTACCACACCTTGGGATTAAAGGGCCGAGGGAGTACTCGCAGTTTGGGTTACCACGCCTTGCGATTGATGTGCGTGAGGGGTGGCACCGAATTTCAGAAATGTGGCAAATCCCATGTGTTTTTGGACCCTGACCCCGCGGATCTGCGTGAGGGGTGGCACCGAATTTCAGAAATGTGGCAAATCCCATGTGTTTTTGAACCCTGACCCGCGGATCTGCGTGAGGGGTGGCACCGAATTTCAGAAATGTGGCAAATCCCCTGTGTTTTTCGACCCTGACCCCGCGGATCTGCGTGAGGGGTGGCGCCGAATCTCAGAAATGTTGCAAATCCCATGTGTTTTTGGACCCTGACCCCGCGGATCTGCGTGAGGGGTGGCACCGAATTTCAGAAATGTGGCAAATCCCCTGTGTTTTTGGACCCTGACCCCGCGGATCTGCGTGAGGGGTGGCGCCGAATCTCAGAAATGTGGCAAATCCCTTGTGTTTGTGGACCCTGACCCCGCGGATCTGCATGAGGGGTGGCACCGAATTTTAGAAATGTTGCAAATCCCTTGTGTTTTTGGACCCTGACCCCGCGGATCTGCGTGAGGGGTGGCACCGAATTTCAGAAATGTAGCAAATCCCCTGTGTTTTTGGACCCCTGACCCCGCGGATCTGCGTGAGGGGTGGCACCGAATTTCAGAACTGTGGCAAATCCCATGTGTTTTTGGACCCTGACCCCGCGGATCTGCGTGAGGGGTGGCACCGAATTTCAAAAATGTGGCAAATCCCCTGTGTTTTTGGACCCTGACCCCGCGGATCTGCGTGAGGGGTGTCCCCAGCAATTCAGACAACGCGCGCAGGGGGTGCTAAAAATCCCGTTTGGGCCTCCCCCCCCCCCCTCGCGCGGTCAATTAGTTACAGTAACCAGCAAGAAGCAGAACTGTAACACTGGAAACTACAAGCTACAACTGGTACAGGAAACTGCGAATCACGGTCCTACAGCCTGGTGGCCCCACAAGGGGGCCGGCGGATCTGACGTCCTATCCCCCCTTCCAATCCCTTACCATGGCGTAGATACCCCCTCCAATTTGGCCGGGAACTCGGAAAGGGAGCCAAGGATGAGACGGGAGCGCCCTTGTGGAAGAGCCAGACGTGCGGAGATTCAATTGTGGGATCGGGGGGCGCGTAATGGGGGTGCGATAGATGGGGGGGCAGTGAGGTTTGCAAAAAAGGGGCTGTTTAGATCCACTGGCGGGGCCTTTGTAGGACTCAGGAAAGGGCCTTTAGGGCCCGACAAGGGTACATCTCTTCGCCCCCCGTCGATCGCCCCCCATTAATTCGCGCCCAATGGGAAAGGGTTCCCAGGGTAGGCCCTAGCAGGGAGCTGGCCTTGGATCCAGATGTGGTGGATTCTTTGAGCACCGCTCAAGGCCGCCCCCTGGGAGCTGGCGGGGGAGCCCTCTCCGCGACGGACAGGGGCGGAAGGGAGGGAAGGAGGGAGGGGAAGAAGAGGAGGAGGAGGAGGAGAAAAGGAAAAGGAGGAGGCGAGGGACAGGAAAAGGAGGAGGAGGACGAGGAAGTGGACGAGGAAGAGGAGCAGGAGGAGGAGCAGGAGGAGGAGGAGGAGGAGGAGGAGGAGGAGGAGGAGGAGGAGGAGGGACGGACGCGCTGGCGCCACGAGGCCGCGGAGCGCCTGGAGAGGGAGGCGCGAGACAGACAGGAAGCCCTGGCGGACCTCGCGGCCAGCACAAGGTCCGCGCTCTCGGAGGCCCCGCGCGCACCGCGTCGGCGCGTTCTGACCTCTTCCCCCCCCCCGCCCCCCTTTTCATTGTGATTATTGGGTTTTCGCGAAGGTCGCCACATAATTGCCACGCAGTCCCGAGAACTCTGTTCGAGGTTTGGGTTGTTGCCCTGTTCGAATAGGGCCGGGTTTCGTTCCACCTCTGAAACCTGTTCTGCCCGCTCAGTTGGGTTAAGACATTCCCTTCCTCTCACAGCCACCGTTGTCGTCGCAATCGTCCTCGTCATCATCAGCAGCATCATCGTCACCAGCATCACCACCATCGTCGTCATCGCCGTCATCATCATCATCGTCAGCACCGCCACCATCATCATCATCGTATGCCGCCAGCATCATCCTCATCACCACCAGCATCATCATCATCATCATCATCATCACCACCACCAACATCAACATCATCACCACCACCAACATCAACATCATCATCATCATCATCATCATCATCATCATCATCATCAGCGTCATCATCATCAACATCATCATCATCATCATCATCATCATCATCGCAGCCATCATCAACATCATCATCAGCAGCATTATCAGCATCATCATACGTTGCCAGTTTGTCTCAAAACGCTTGTTGGCCAGGAACCGCGAGGGCGTGCCGCGGCCGCGCCCACTGGCCCTCGGCGGCCGCTCTCTCCTTGCCCCTCGGCGGCCGCCCTCGGCGGCCGCCCCCCTCTCGCCGTAGAGGCGGTGCGCCAGGCCGTGCCGGGGCCCAGAGCCCCGACCTCCCGCGCGGGCAATACAAACAGCGCCAGTAGTGAGAGCACCGCAGATGCGAGTCACCCGCCCTCTGGTGCAGACATGTCCGAGGCTTTGAGGGCACTCATCCAGTCGCTCTCATCCGCGGTCGACACATTGACTACCCAACCCGAACGCGACGCATCAGAGATTCATAAGCAGGTTTCGGGAATCCAGGGGCAGATAGTCCAGGCAGAGCAGAATGTTTACACCCTGCTGAAAGCAGCTGCTGACCACCATCTGAGAATTCCCTACCTAGGCTCTGCCTACAGGGTTCTTACTCTCTTCCCCTACCTAGGCTCTGCCTAGAGGGTTCTTACTCTCTGTCTTAAAGGGGCCGGGCATTGCACACCGCCCCAGGCGGTTCCCCCAGTACCCGCCCCGCGGTTCCCCCAGTTACGCCCCCTTAGCTTAGCGGTGCTTATCTCATCTTAGCCTAGCTTATTTCATCTGAGCTTAGCTTAGCTTCATCTTAGCTCAGGTTTATCTTAGCTTAGCTTCATCTTAGCTCAGGTTTATCTTAGCTTAGCTTACCTTCATCTTAGCTCATGGGTGTAATTCCCTACCTAGGCTCTGCATAGAGGGTTAGCTTAGCTTCGCATAGCGCAGCGCTGCATTAGCATAGCATATCATAGCATAACATAGCCAATCATAGCATAGCATAACATAGCATAGCATAGCGCAGCCTATCATAACATTTCATATCCTAGCATATCACAGCGCAGCTTAGCATAACATAGCATACATAGTTTAGCATAGCACAGCGCAGCATTACATAGCATAGCTTAGCATAGCATGTCATAGCATAGCATGGCATAGCGCATCATAGCATAGCATAGCATAGCAGAGCATAGCGCAGCATAGCATGGCATAGCATAGCATAGAACAGCAACTAATGCTGCTTTCCTAGGGGCTCCAACTTCTGGGTAGGGTCGCACTGGGGTAGTATATTCTTAAAGGAGCCGGGCAGTGCACACCGCCCCGGGCGGTTCCCCCAGCATCCGCCCCGCGGTTCCCCCAGTTACGTCTCCTTAGCTTAGCGTTGCTTACCTCATCATCGCTCAGCCTAGCATAACTTAGCCTAGCCTATCTTAGCTTGGCTTAGCCTAGCCTAGTTTAGCTTAGCCTAGCCTAGCTCAGCTCAGCTTAGCGCAGCGCAGCATCAGCATAGCATAGCATAACATAGCATAGCATAGCGCAGCATTGCATAGCGCAGCATAGCATAGCATAGCAGAGCACAGCATAGCTTAGCATAGCATATCATAGCTCCGCGCAGCACAGCTTATCATAACATAGCATATGATAGCATAGCGCTGCATAGCATAGCATACCATAGCATAGCGCAGCATACCATAGCATATCATAGCGCAGCATAGCATAGCCTATCATAGCAGATGTATCTGTAGGTGTAGATGTAGGTGTATATGTAGATGTAGATGTGAGTCTCGCTGTTGATGTCGATGCAGATGTAGATGCAGGTGTAGATGTCAATGTAGCTGTCGGTGTAGATGTAGATGCTGCTTTCCTAGATGCTCCAACTCCTAGGTAGGGTCGCACTGGGATAATTCTGCCTTGTTGAAATCAACGCAGGAGCAGGCGCCGCTACGAGCCACTCAGGATCGCGAGGCGGCGAATCCGAGTTGGGAAGGAAGATGCCGCGGGCGACCGACGCGACGAAGGAGGAATTGGCGGAGGTGGGAAAGATGGCGAAGGACACTGCTGAAGGGGCGGCGACCCCGAGGAACGGCGAGAGTTTCTCTCGGAAGGTTCGGCGCGGCGCTGAGCTCGGCGACGTCGGAAATCCCCCCCCCCCCCTCGGTCTCAAGAGGGCCCGATGGAGACGACGCTGCGCCAGGCTGCGAGCCCCATCCTCCTGAAGTGCTATAGAGATCCATGGTGGCCAGGTCAAGGCGCGCATCTGCAACAAGCAGGCGCGATCGATTCCCCCGGCGCTTTTCGGGCGTCGACGTTCCATCCGAAAGCACGCGCAGAAGGCCCCGTCCTTTTCCCGAGCCCCGAGGGCGGACCAGACCTCGAGCTCCGCGTCCGACGCGACCCCCCACACATTCATTGGAAGCTCTTCTACTTAGGAAATATGAGACAAGCTGCGTCGAACGCCCGCGGACCCGGTGGAATCGGATTGACCCAGCACGGCGGCGCCATGCATGTTCACTACCTGGGCTCTGCCTAGAGGGTTCTTACTCTCTTTCTTAAAA